CCCCACCCCACCCCCGCCCCCTTGCACCCCCCCAGGCTGCCAGGCCCCTGCCCTGATAGGGGCTATGAACCTGATGTCGGGGTAGCCTCGGACAAACCTGATGTCGGGGTAGCCTCGGATGAGGGCTTCCAGGTGCCGGCAGATGTCGTCCTTGTACGTCTCGCCCAGGATCTCAGCCACGCAGGGGATGGCTTGGTCCAGCCAGGAAGCCTCGGAGCCCTGTGGAAATGAGGTTGTGCTTCACCCCCATCCTAGGCCAGCACCTCCGTCTCTAGCGCACTTCTGGGCCTGCTGCAGCCACCGACGTGGCTGGCTTCCCCACAGGACGTGACTGCACAAACATCTACACAGGACACTCATCTCCCGCCCCTCCATCCAGGCAAGGCGCCATCCTGCATGTGCAGACAGAAAACATGAGGCCAGAACCTCGAAGTGCTGCATGGAGACACTCCCCCTGTGGGGAACAGTGGGGTTCAAAGGACTCCGGGCCTGCAGGGCTGAAGGCTTTGCCCATCAGGGGTGCAACCTCCACTCCTTCCTCATGACCCTCCAAATTATGTGTATAGGACGTGACCCCCACATGGGCCAGCCCGCACCGCACAGCACCCTCCTTCCTCGAGATCGCGGCCGCCTCCGTTCCCCCACCCCCCCAACGGCATGGTGGCAAGTCTGCGGGCTGCAGGGAGGTCCCCGGTGCCTGGCGCTCTCCTACCAAGCTCTGGAAGGTGCTGCCAATGGCCTGCGCATCCAGGGTCATCTTCTGGGCGCCACTCACACGCTCGGCTCCCCGAAACCTCTCCCGGGGTCTCAGGGCCTGGACTAGGTATTCCCGGACCACAAACCGGTGCACTTCCTGGAGGGTCTCCTAAAGGGCGGGGCGGGGCAGGGTCAGAGCCAGGACCCACCCTGGGTACCCCCCCACCTGGACCCCTGAGCTGGGCACTGCTGCCAAACCCTCCCAGCCCAGGACCTGTGCCAGCGGAGGGGCCACGTGTGTGAGGTGGTGGGCGAAGGCCACCGCCTTGTCCATGAGCGGGCACAGAGCATCCTGGGTCAGCCAGCTCTTGGTGCACAGGACCCTGAAGAGTGGCTGGGGACAGAGGGCCATAGGGTGACCTTGTGCTCCTGGGGCACAGGTCCCCTTTTTCTGACTCCTTGAATGTCTCCTCCAGGGGGCAGTCTGAGTGTGGCTGTCTGCCAGGCCCTGCTTTGGGGTGCCCTGGGGACACCCTAAGGGGCTGCCAGTTCCGCGCCCCGCAGGTGATGGGCGTTGGTTGCTAAGAGACAGAGACCTGGTGAGAAGGCAGGCAGCCCCCAGCCCTGGAAGGAGCTGCCAATGGCCAGGGACAGGGCACCAGGCTCCAGAAGAGGGTGGCACTTTCTGGGCAAAGAAAGTGGGGGGTGGAAGGCAGGTCCCAGTCACCTGCATCTTCCGCTGCACACTGCGGAGCAGGTGCTTCTGGAAGGTGCGGGTGGTGGCTTGCAGGGTGGGCTCCAGCTCCCCCAGGGCGCCAGGGAACCGGGCCAGGAGACTGGTCCTGGGAGGGGTGTGGACGAGAGGAGGTGGGCGAGATCAGGGCTTGGCGCTGCACCCACTCCATTCTTCAAGCCTTCGCTGTGAAAGGTAGCACGGAGCTCGGGGAAGGTAGCTGCTCCTGTTACCGCTCAGGAAACTGGACAAGACAGGACCGCAGGGGCAGCCACCGCCCCACTGCTGCCCACGAACAGAGAACGCAGGGCTGCTCCACAGAGCTGACCCCCAGGCTCCAGGGCTGAGTCCCGCCTGGCCCAGTCAGGCAAGATGGCCCTGGAGAAGCAGGGCCTTGCCACGAGTGGGCTGCGAGTCTGGCAGGCCCGGTCAAGTCTAGCTTCACGAGCCTCCACGCGCTGTCCAAGCGGGCCAGCCGGCCACAGGAGCAGCACTGCGGAGCCTTCCGGGCTTCTCTAAGCCCTGGGCTGCGTGGGCCCGGGTCTGTGCCCCAAGGCAGGGCGGTCCCCATGCTCCCCCACAGGCCTCCAACCCAGGGCCCCGCTCCAGGCCTGCTCTGAGGATGCCGACCGCTCTGCCACCTGCCGTCTGCGAACCTCGGGTCGAGCGGTTCCCTCTGCCTTTCCCTTGTCTAATGCACCTGGGCGGGGGGCTCCGCGCTGCAAGGGCTGCTCAGAGAAGCTGGGCTGGGAGGCAGGGGGGCCGGACCCAGGAG